ACAAAACCCTGCATTTTTAGACACCCCTGTAGCTATTAGGTCCTAGATGCAGCCAGTTAGGGGCCTCTACTAATTACCAGATTTGAGATTTGGAGGATAGAAGGGAGGCAGAGGCCATTCTCCTGCCACTTTGTAGCTGTTTTCTGCTGGCCAGTAACCCAACTGAGATGTGGGGTCTCTAACAAAGTGCTCCACAGCCCAGGCTCCAGTTCTGTGAGTGTTGAGATAGTAGTTAAGGCAGTGCCGGGTGGAACTTTCTTATCCTTGGATCAACATGGCAAATTCTTGAATTCAATGGCTCCCATGAGCAGCTTCCGTATCTATCTTGGTTGTGGCTGAGGTAGGGCAGCTTCCTGGCAGGCCAGTTCTGGCAGTGTCTGGGAAACATTCTGGAGATCCAGCCTAAAGCTTATTCCTCTAGCACTTCCACCATCAAAAGTGAGCATCTGATCCCTGTGTTAAACTCATTTTCTCGTCTTAAAATAACAGAACAGGAATGTTGCTGTTTCCGCTCTGAACCCTGACACATAGGCCTGCTGTGATCTCCTCCTGTAGGAAACACAAATGCTAAGAAGTCTGTGATCCCTTTGCCCAAAAGAGCCGCATGATAAAGAGGAAGGGGACTGGGGTCTCCTTACCAGACTGCTGGTGGGAGAAACGGCCTGAGCTTGGTTACCCTCCATCTATGGGACCAGGAACTGCACGCTGTTGAGGGCCACCGGCAGCTGCATTGCATCCGTATGTATTTGTAATTCATGGGCAGTGCTTGCTGGCTCACAACACGCCAGTCTCACTGCCAGGTTCAGGTGTGGACTGAATGCCCTGGGCAGACACCTTGCCAAACGATAGCAAAAGAATATTTAAGACTCGACACTAACTGAGACAAGCCAGAAGCCTGACTATCTCCTCCCATGGGAATACTCTTAGCTATAAAATGTCACAATGTTGTTCAGTGCGTTTCATGAGATCAATAAATTATCACTGGAAGGGTGCTCCGGCAAGAAGATGGGTGCTACAGGTAAATTGTTATAGGTTAAAAACATAAAATCTCCATAGACTTTAGAGTTTACACACCACTCTAGGTCAGTTAGGGAGGTGTTTAGGAGCTGGTAGGAGCTGATGGCCGAGTTAGGTCTGGATCTGAGTTCTGACCTGTTACTTACAAGCGGATCTTGACCAGCACTAAACCCTCTCTGAGCGACTAGTTATTTCTTCATCTGCCAAGGAATTATAAATCCACCCCTAGAGTTGTCAGGAAAATCAAGATACTTATGTGAAAAGCTCAGCATAGTGCCTAGCACTTAGTAAAAGCATTAGTGTTTTCTCACAGATTACCTGCTGATACCTCTCTCTCTCTTCACAAATCATACAGCCAAGTTAGACAAAGCAGATTATTATTATTCCTTTGGGATCTGCCAGGGTGAGACTGAAACTTCCAGGTCCCTAATTAGAATGGGTACATTCAATAGTTCCTCCAATTCTAGCTAGAATAACGCATAATTTTGACCAAGGAAAAGCCAGCATTTGCAGAATCAATAATACTGTCTTATCTAAAGACAAAATACTAACTCTTGATTTCTGGGTCCACAGAATGAGTTCAGCAATAGTTATTATGTCTCGATTGTTCACATGATTACTCAGGAGACTTCTAATCCAGCACATACATAACGTAGGGTCTGTGCAATGGGACGCTCTATGCCTCCTTGCAGCTCGTTTTTTGTTTTTAAGTTTATTTAGAGAGGAGACAGTAGTGTGCGGAGCTAGTGTGGGGCAGAGAGAGGCGAGGCAGAATCCCAAGCAGAGCCCAACATGGGGCTGTCTCACTACAGGTGAGATCATGACCTGAACTCCAAATCAAAAATCAGACGCTAAACAACTGAGCCACCCAGGCGTCCATGCCCTTCCAAGTGTTTTTGGAGTCGAGTTTCTACCCTTTTAAAGATTATAAACAGCCATGCTATTGGCCTAGCATTGCTCACACATAGGGACACCATGGGGAATGGGCCTGAGGGCAGGTTGAGCTCAGAAGGCAGCAGTGGTGCTGACAGAAACAAGCCCAGATATGGGTTCTTATAATATAAAAATGGCTTTCATGACAACCTTTAGTTAGATAACTATTATAAGTTTTATACTTGAAATATTTTGAGTGGCACAAGCCTCAAATGAACTATGCTTTGAAAATGTGCTATATAAGGTAAATCAAAAGCAAGCAGACTGACCCTTCCCTGCCTGTTCTGCCTCTATCCAGTGTGTTCTGACTTCACAGTGGCTCCTCTACCCAGTGAAAGTGCTTTTTGAATTTGTACAGGGTGTTTTGATTGGATGCTCCTTGGCCAAAAAATAAACATGCTGAGATTTTAAGGCAATCCCACAACAACATGGCTTATCTGTAGATTCCCACCCAATTCTTGATGGTTGGAAAACAGTATGACCACAACTAAAACAATAAAATGGGATTCCTCAGAGCTCACTTTAAAACAAAACGGCAGGCCTAGGGCTACTTATATTTTACAAATACTTTGAAATATATTAGGCTATTAATCCTCTCACACAACCTATAAAACACTAGGTAGGACTGTTATTCAGCATATGTTGGAAGTCCTCAGAAATCGACAAACACAAGAGAAAAAAGGCATCCAATCAGCAAGGAGGAAGTCAACCTCACTCTTCACAAGACAGATACTCTAGTGGAAAACTCAAAGACCTGCTGAATAGCCCATAGAACTGATCCACCTGAATTCAGCAAAGTCTAGGAATATAAAATCAACATACAGAAACTAGCATTTCTATATGCCAGTAATGAATGCAGCGAAAGAAATCATTACAATTGCACCCAGACATATAAAATAATTCCTAGGAATACACCCTAACCAAAGAGGTGAAAAACTATACACTGGAAAACTATAGAAAGCTTAGGAAAGAAAATGAAGAAGATGCCAAAAAAAGGAAAACTCCATGCTTTATGGACTCAGAAGAACAAAATTGTTAAAATGTCTACACCACCCAAAAGCAACTGACATTTCTAGTGCAATCCTATCAAAAAGAAACCAGCATTCTTCACATGGGAAAAAACCCCTAAATTTGTATGCACCAGAAAGACCCAAACAACAAAGCAATCCCAGAAAGAAGAAAAGTTGAAGCATCACAGATTTGGACTCAGAGTTGTATTACATTGCTGTAATCATCAAGACAGTGATGGTACTGGACAAAAAAACAGACACTCAGATCAATGGATCAGAATAGAGAACCGCAGAAATGGACTCCACAAACATATGGCCAACTAATCTTGACAAATCAGGAAAGAATATCCAATGGAATAAAGAGGTCCTCAGACTGGGACCTCAACAAAATAAAAGCTTCTGCACAGCAAAGGAAACAATCAAACAAAGGCAACCAGAGAATGGGAGAAGATATTTGCAAATGAATATCAGATAAGCTTAGTATCCAAAATCTTAAAGAATCTCACCAAACTCAACACCCAAAAACAAATAATCCAGGAAGAAATAGGCAAAAGACAGTGATAATAGACACTTTTCCAAAAGACATCCGATGATCTAACCAAACATGAAAAGATGTCAACATCACTCATCAGGGAAAATACAAATCAAAACCACAAATGAGATACCCCTCACACCTGTCAAATGACTAAAAGTAAAAACTCAGGACAACAGATGTAGTAGCAGGATGCAGAGAAGAGGAACCCTTTTAGCTGCTGGTGGGAATGCAAATCATGTGTTAGCCTGAAAACAGTGATGGAGGTTCCTCAAAAAATTAAAAAATAGAACTAAATCTCTATCTATACCAGCAATGCCTACACTAGGGCTATTACCCAAAGATAGTAAGAGTGTCTGTTCTCAAAGGGGCACATGCACCAGCTGCTTTATAACAGCACCTATCGACAAAGCCAAATTATGGGAAAGAGTCAAATGTCCATCTGAGGAGAATGGGAAAGAAGAAGATGTGGTATATATATATATATATATATATATATATATACACACACACACACACATATATATACATAAAATGGAATATTACTTGGTGATCAAAAAGAATGAAATCTTACCATTTGCAACAACGTGGATGGAACTAGAGGGTATTATGCTAAGCGAAATTAGTCAGTCAGAGAAAGACAAATATCATATGACTTCATTCATATGTGAAATTTAAGATACGAAACAGAGGAACATAAGGGAAGGGAAGGAAAAAGAATATAAAAACAGGAAGGGAGATTAACCATGAGAGACTCTTAAATACAGAGAACAAACTGAGGTTTGCTGGAGGGGTTTTGGGTCGGGGGGATGGGCTAAATGGGTAAAGGGCATTAAGGACGACACTTGTTGGGATGAGCACTGGGTGGTAAGTGTAAGTGATGAATCACCAAATTCTCCTCTTGAAATCATTATTGCACCATATTTTAGCTAACTTAGATGTAAATAAAAATAAATGAATTAATTAATAAATAAATAAATTAATTAAAAAAACATCTAGGTAGGAATCACTATTATCCTTATTTGCAGATGAGGAAACAGGGGTTCAGGGAGATTAAGTGTCTAAAGTCAGTGGCCAGTAGGAAGCTGACTTAATTCCAGAATTCAGTTTCTTGCCTACACTTTAATACTTTATACCCACCTCATGTTGCAGTAGGTGAGTTCTGTCTGCTTTCTAGGTTCACTTAATGACAAATAGGATGGAGACTTAAAAGAAAAATCCCTCAGGCTTTAAAATTCATAGGATTCAATCTCAATTATTGAAATTTCTTGCAACTTCATTTTTATAATCTCCAAGTAACCTTTTAAGCTATTTTCTTATAAATTATAGCTTTTAAGTTAGATTAAAAGGAATGTTATTTTATTTTCTTTTATTTAATGTTAGGCCTATTAGAATACAAAATTATAATGTGGAAGAGACACCCTGACTGTATGAATAGGCTTACCTGATACTTGAGCATGTCCACGTTATAATATGTAGCCTGGGGTTTTTGTTCCGACACTTTCTTTAAGTGAGTCATCAAATTTGGCATGTTTACCCAGAATTCCTTGGTATTGGCATCATTTTGAGTATTATCGCTATTCAGTTGAGAAAAAAAAATTGTTGAGTCGCATCTTGTGACAAATATTATCCACTCAAAGAAGCATCTTAGCAAAGTGTCATCTGATTTCTATATCCATCTATGACAATCTATAGAGATCATATTACTAACAGTACTATAGCTTTAGTACAACTGCAGTTCTGAATGGTATTATGTTAAGAGATTAATACACATAAGGAAGTATGATTGTATTGCTATGAATTTCAGTGAGTGCCCAATAATATCAACCAATCCTGATAATAACTGGTTGCTTTAAAGAGTGAATTATTTATTAACCCAAACTTAATAGCTCTTTCTACATGACCACAGTTTCCTCTGAATTAGTCAGTTAATGCAATCAAGGAGCTGGGTACATTGATTTTTTTTTTAATTGACGTGAACAGTAGTTTCTCAGAAATTACTGAGTTAAATATTTGGCCAAATGTAAACACAGTCTTTATCTCCAGCTGAGGAGAAAAGGGTGATCCTAAAACTACCATGGTATTTTATCTGAGAGCATCCAGATCAGAAAATAGTCACTGCACTTACAAGATGGTCTTGGAATTTAAATGATAATAATCATGGTAGTTACAATAAAGAAATGTAGTCGTGATGAATTCAGGAATTTGGTATTTTTTTTTTTTAATGTTTATTCAGTTTTGAGAGACAGAGAGCAAGAAAGGGTGGGGCAGAGAGAGAGGGAGACACAGAATCCGAAGCAGGCTCCAGGCTCCGAGTTGTCAGCACAGAGCCCGACGCGGGGCCCGAACTCACAAGCTGTGAGATCATGACCTGAGCCAAAGTCAGTTGCCCAACTGACTGAGCCACCCAGGTGCCCCAGGAATTTGGTATTCTTAAAGATTTGTTAGCTTTGCTCAGGTGTCTCTCTATACGTCAGTCACCCAATGTATTTTGAAAATGCTTCTCTCAATGACAAATGGAATCAGTCAAGAGTATGAGCAGCCTCTGTTCACTTTCACATAATAAGGAAACTGAGGGCCCAAGTAGTTCAGTAACCTGACATACAACTCACTTACTGAGTGGAAATTAGAGGTTAAGAAGACAGAAGGATGACAGTGATAAAGTGATGAAGGCAGGCCAGAAGTAAGTTGGTATGATCCAGCCTCCAAAAGTCAAACAAATTAAGAGAATGAGTCAAAAAAACATCAGGGCTTTAAAACTGCTACTGATCTGTTAGGAGGGAGTGGCTGTGGGGGGCTCAGTCTCAGCATGACCCATGTGAATTCTGCTGGGCCCTGGTATAGGTTGTTGAGGACAAAACAAATCTCTACAACTGTGGGCATGTAGAATGTGGATGGAAAAGATTCCCGGCCCCTGAGACACTGCCCCTGGGTAAGCTGAGCTAAGGATGCTGATGAGGGCTATTTAAACTTGTATTACCTAAGAGCATCCAAGTTACCCAGAGGCTGGAGATAAGAGTGATAGAGAGTCAGTGAAATTAAGTGATTTGCTTATGGGAAACAGCTAATAAGAACAGTCAGGATTCCAGCCCAGGTCAGTATCCTGTAGGTCATACTTTCCCATTGTACCAAAATAGAGGTACAGAATGAATATCCAGTAACATGTCATTAATTTGTACTAAGCAGATCTGAATAGTTGGGAAAATTTCAATGACACTATTTTTTACAGAAATGTATTTTCTAAGTTTAATAACAAATTAAGCTAAGTCATATATCTACGATAATTCCTCAGAGAACTTGCTTTAATAAATATTCAAGAAAGCTTTGTCAATCAGATAGAGATGCCAGTTACTTGGAGAGGCGATTCTTGAATGCTCAAGAAGTCTTGAGAATTCTTTAGTCTTATGATTGGCTTCACGATTGTTCCCGAATATTCTTTATAAGCAAACCCCTTTCATAATGGGAAAGTAGAAGTAAACTTCAATTTGGTCCCTGTCAATGGGTTGCAAACCCAAAGGTGTTCAGGTGCCGAGCTGCGAACCTAAATGAAGTCTTTCAGAACACATAAATGAGAGAATTGGCTGGTCTAAGGCAATAGATATTAAAAGGCTTGTACTGTGATTGAGAAAAATACTCGCTTATGCTGCCTTTTAAAAACTAGGGCTGGTAGTAGTGATGTTAGAGCAGTCCCGCATAACAAACCCACATAAGCTACATGGCCATGAGTTACCAATCACAGCCCTGACACAATAATCAAATATTTAGAATTTGTGAGGTCCAAATAAGTATTTTTTATTCTTGTTTTAGCAGATAATAATAGTAAGGTAAGGGTCTATATAATATTGTGTCAGGCAAAAACATACTCAGGGTGTTATTTAATTCAATTACTAGGACTGATATATTAATATAAGTATAAAACTCTTGCATATATGATTAAAAACCTGGCCACATAATGGCCTAAAAATGCAACAAAAACTGTAACACCCACACTCGTCTTATTAACAAACAAACCAGTGAGATGATGGCACCTAACTCCTAATTTCAGATGGAGGAACCTTGACAAATAAAATTAACTGGCTCAATGTGAACGTCAAAAACAGAGAGGGAGAGTGAAATAACAAGCTTCTGATTTCCAGTCTTGATTGCTTTACGTTTATTTTTCATTTAATGCGTGACCATATATTTCCACACTTTTAAACCTGGAATCAAGTTTGCCAGTTAAACCATCACAAGGACCAAAGAGGAGGAGGTGATCTTGGTAGTCACCTGACAGATCTGTGACTGTTTTGTCACCACTGAGTGAACAAGTCCTAGTGAAGAAAGCAACGATGTTGGTCCTTAAATTCCAAATACCGACAACCTTTAGCTATTTCTACATAAACACCCAGCTTGACTAAATTCTTTAAATGATAGTTGAGTTGTTCATTCATTGAACAAATGTTAGTTAAGTCCTTACTAGATGCCAGGTGTAGTGGAAGGTACTGACGATGTGGTGGTGAACTAAGAGATGTGTTCCGTTCTCTCATGGATTTTACAGTCTAGTGGGGGAGATGGATGAATGAAGAAACACAAACAGATATATAATTATTAATTCTAGCAAGAGCAACAAGGGAAAGAAAAGGATACCTTGAGAGGGAATAACAAGAGGGCATATTTGGTTTAAGAATGGGGGTTGGGGGTGGAAGAGGAGTGGAATGGTCCAGGGAGACAAGGCAGAGCTGAAATCTGAAGAGTGAGTCAGGGTCAGGTGAAGAGGGACAGAAATAGTATCAGAGGTGGGGGAAACAAGCACACAAATCCCAGCCTGTTCTTAAGCCTGGCAAGCCTGGCTGGAGCTACCAGGATTCTGAGGCAGGACGGTGGGAAATGGTAACAGAGAGGCAGGCAAGGGTAGATGACTCTAGGTCTCAAAGGCAGTGGTAACAAGTTTGCATTCAGGTACAGATGCAATGCAAAGCCACTTGAGGATTATACGTGAGGATGGCCTGGTTCACCTCACAGAAAGTGACTCAGCTGTTGTGTAAAAAATGCAGTAAGGGGACAAGCTTGGATGCAGGAAGAGAAGAAGGAAAGCATTTTCAGTGGTCCAGGAAAATGACAATGGTCACTTGGACAGGGAGGTCACAGTAAAGAGAAAAAATGGCCACTTTAGAGAGAGATTTTTGAGTAAAATATCAGGACTTAATGATAAGAAGCTGTCAAGAATGACAGTTTTTTGTCTCATTCATTGCCAGTAATTAACTCGTATAGTTGATCATTTTTAATAGCTCCATACACGTGTATGTTTGTGTGAATCCACATGCATGTAGGTATGATAGGTCCATGTTCAGATTTAACAGTTAGAAAATGGGAATAGTATATTTATATAAACAAATTCACATTAGCTTCTTTGAATACATGTACAGTTCCATTAAAACAATCACCATTACTGCAAAATTATGTATTTCACGAAAAAGACTTTCAAGCTCATGTGAAGACGAGCTCACAGTTCAAATATCATTTGACTTTAAAAGATGCTAAGACAACAAATGGATTTTATTCCTTTTATTGGTCTCATTTCCCACTCTCCTCATCCATTGTTTACTGATGGCAATGAATAAACAAACTGTCACTGATACAGCTTTTATTACTCTAAATGTCTCTTCAGCCCCTTGAGATGGTTGGCCGTTAGAATACATATAAGCATCTACACACGATTATATACAAAAGATTTTTACAGGTAGCAAACTTCTGGGTTGAATCTACAAACATATCTGAGTAGCAGTAATTTCTCTACCATGCTATTTTCTTGCTAAGGTATATCCTTCATCTAAGTATCCAGTGCTAAGCGACACACATCTCTAAAAAATTTGTGCAAAATATATTTACCAGCAGAGAAGTTGGGGATTTGGCAGGACGTGTTCTAACCTGCTGAAATTTATCACCCGAAAAGTCAGAGCAGCTGGCGATGGATTGTTGGCAAAGTGTCTGGTGATGCCGGCAGGAAAAGACAACACCATCTCTCCAGTAATCTTCACGATACATCTGGCATATCAAAACACATGAGAGGAAAGAGAGAGAGGAAGCCCAGGTCAATAAGCTGTGAATCAAAACAGTTGGGAAAAAGAAATGATTTTTGTAACAATAGTACAATAGCAGGAGAGACACAAGGTAAGCTCTTAAACAATTCTGCTGTCAACTACTAAATCATTTCCAAGACCTGAGAATGCAAGGTTTGTGTTAACACGTATCCCAAAAAGTCGCCATCTGTTGAATGTGCTTTTGAACTGTAAGAAAAATGCAGCCTTTCTCTTTCTGTAGAAATGTCTATCTGTTCACCTCACAATAGAACCACCTATTTTGGTGGTTATTTTGGTCTCTGATTTCTGAATCTTTGGCAACATATTTGAAGATAATAAAATCAAACGCACAACATTATCACACTATTGACTGGGTCTTATTTTAGTTCTCAGTAACATGATTGATGTCTTGAATATGTTCTTTTCTGTACTGAAGAGGTAAACTCCTTGCTTCCATTTAACTATATATTTATTCCATGTCTATTCGGTTGAAACTGTAAAAATCAGTCATACAAGTTAGCACAATAAGATAATAATTTGAAAGGAAGAATAACTTTTTTTTTAAAGTGTTTTGTTGAGGCACAATTGACATACAATAAATGGCACTCGTTTATAGTGTAAACTTCCATATTTTTTTATATATTTTATACCTGTGAAGCCCTCATGCAATCAAGTTAAGGAAAATACCCAGTACCCCTAAGAGTTGCCTCACACATTTCTGTGATCCCTCTCTGCTGCTTTTCTCCTTATCCCTAAGCAATTGCTAACATAGCTTTCTGACACTGCTATTAGTTTGCACATTCTAGAATTTCATGTAAACAGAATCATAAAGTATGTAATTTTTTCATCTGGCTTCTTCCACTCTGTAATTAGAGATTCATCTATGTAGTGTATGCATCAATAGTTCATGACTTTTTATTGCTGTGTAGCATATGGCTAGCCCACAGGGGTTTTGTTTTTTTTTTAATCCATTAATTTGTTGAAAAACATTTGGACTCTTTCCAGTTTTTAAGTATTACAAATAAAGCTGTGGTGAATATGTTTGTACAAGTCTTTGTATGGACATATGCTCTCATATCTCTTGGCAAACAAATGTAGGAGGAGAATCACTGGATCACACTGAAATCAAATAGCATTAATCCACCAACTTTGTTCTTTTTCAAAATTGTTTTTGCTTCTGTAGCCCCTTTGCACTTCAATATGAAATTTAAAATCATGGTGTCAATTTCTATATAAAATCAATGTAGTTCCAATTCACCCTTTATTGCCTGCACTGAGAAAATTATTGAGCCCTTTGTATATACTTTTTCTTTGCCAGCAGGCACTATGTTAAATTTTGTCAGTAGAGGGCGCTAAAAAGACATTGCAGGAAAAAGAGATTTTTCCTTCCCCGTTCCCGGGTACTTGCTAGGCTGGCTTCCACAGTACTTAGGGCATACCTGGTGCCAGGCTCTTGCGGTGCCAGAAGCTTGTGTGTGGGACCTCTGCAGAGCATGTGGCATCCCCATTGTGTGGGTACTGCAGCCCGTGTGGCTTTGATAGTGCCTGGTGGTACAGGCAGCTTCCCCAGCATCTGGCCCCTGTAGTGCATGTGTCTGGGCTGCCCCAGTGCCCAGATCCTGCAATGTAGGTGGGTTCTCTGGCTCCAGTCTCCTGTCACGTGCACACCTTCTTTCTCCACAGCCAGCTTCTGCAGTGCATGGTGACCTGCAGTACCCACCACGTGGCCATTAGCTTCCTCTGCCACCCCCAAGTCAGTTTGCTGTGGAGTATGCCTCGGTGAGACACCTCCTCGTAAACAGCTGGGAGTGTGCTCGGCTTCCCCCGTATCATGTCTGAAAACACTTAAGGAAGAAAGCTAGGCATTCATATGGCACACCTCACCTCTCAGGGGTCACTGTCCTTTACCTGAGATCCAGGGTCTGGCAAATCATTGTTCACATGTTTTGTCCACTTTCAAGGCATTTTCAGGTAAAGAGATAAATCGGTCCCTGTTATGACACTTTGGCCAGAAGCAGAAACCTCAAAAGGATTATTCTTCTTTAGGAAACAGTAAATATTTAAAATGAGTGAACTTCTTTACGACTTCCCTTTACATCTGGATAACTTACCCTTGTACTAGTTCTATAACTTTAAGTTCAGGACTGTACTTTCTAGGGAAATTGAGATTAATAGATGGAAACTCTGCTCAACATCTGAGCACAGGGAGCGCCGTTTGCCCCGTAGTCATTGCGTATGCTGTGTAACTGTGATTGTTGAGACACACGTGTCTCGGGGGAGATGGCCTTTGGTGCATAGTTAAAATAGCTTATGGGAAGAATTGCTACAGCCTCTTATGTATAAGGCCAGGTTGAGGTCAAGGGTGGAGGGCAGGAAAGCTTCCTAAGGTAGCCATGTTCCCCTTCTCTCCCCTCATTCAGATATGGTCATCCATAACCCTGCATTGCTCTGGATGAAAATTTTGGTTTCTGGCAGTTTGCACATCCATCTCTTCTGGGGAGTACTGTCGATTCCCCACTTTGGATACCAGTTCTGCTGTCTTCCTTTTCTGCATTTCAGCTACATAAACCTTGCATTAATTACTGGGGCTGAGCCCAGACTTCCCCTTAAGCTGAGTCTATTCTCAATGCTTTTCAACATGTGGATGTGCAGAATACTATTTCACGACTTCAGAAGAAAACAATAATTAGTCAGAGCATTTGTTAAATCAGAGTTCAGTACCTACCATCCCTCAGTACATTGTTGTCAGCAGCAGTGGCTGAAATGTTTTTCAATTGGTAAGGGATCTGCTCAGTGACTTTTCCAGGTTGCTCAAAATGAGGTGTAAGTGGTGTCTTGGTGAGGGATAAAGTTTCTCTTTTGAAAGCCAGTCAGCGAGGGGAGGCAGTGGCATTATTTAGTCAATAAACATTTATTGACTCCTAATCATGTAATGTTTGTTTGTTTGTTTTGAGTGGGGAGGCCATTTAAAAATCAGCAAAACAGCCCCGTCTTCAAAGGGCTCATGGTGTCGCGTGGCTGATGAAGGAAGTAGCGAATATAAACCAGTGTAAGAAGCACCAAGCTTCAAGGGGCGCCTGGGTGGCTCAGTCGGTTGAGACCGACTTTGGCTCTTGTCATCATCTCGCAGTTCCTGAGCTTGAGCCCAGTGTGGGGTTCTGTGCTGACAGCTCGGAGCCTGGAGCCTGCTTGAGATTCTGTGTCTCCCTCTCTCTCTGACCCTTCCCCACTCATGCTCTGTCTCTCTCTCTCTGTCAGAAATAAATAAACATTAAAAAAAAAAATTAAAAAAAAAAAGAAGCACCAAGCTTCTTCATGTATATTACATTTCTGTACTGCATGTCAACTGTCACAGATTTACAATTTATTTGCTGATTTAGTGATTCATCCATTCAGAACTTTACTGACTTATTAATTCATCCAGTATCTATTTCCAGATCTGAAATTTTCTACACAAAATGAATATTTTGAACCCATACTCACTAAAGGAAAATATTTGTTTAACTTTAACGACTGTTCTTATCAGTATGCAATGTGGCGACATTACACGTGAGCTTGAATTATGGAAATCGAAAATACTGCAATATGTTAATATTAACAAACTCATGTTATGAACAAAGTTCGAAATCATGAGAATCCCCACAAATGAAACATTTGTCAAGAATGGCAAAATTTCAAGGTCACCTGGCTAAGTGACTTCTAAACTGGGTTCTCCCTATTGCCACAGGCAGTACCATGTTAGCTATCCAACAGAAATGCTGGACGATTTTGGTTAAGAAGTGTGTGAGTTTGACATATGTGAGGTCATAAGAAGTACAAGGCTCACATAAACATGACTTTCACGCACTGCTTTGATAACCAAGCCCACAGTCTCCTCTGTGCATGTGCAGCTGTCCGCCCTTTCATTGGTTTGGGTACTAGGCAAACTCCTTTCCATGTTTCAAGACTCGGTTCAAAGGCAGACCTTTCTGAAGCCTTCCTTCATAGTTTGTTTATTCGGCCTTCCTTAGTTTTTCCTCTATAGGTTCCTTGGATAGATGTACGGATTTTTTTAAAACAGTTTTGTAGGTTTTTTTGCACATATCTTACCCATGATTATAAAGCGAGCGCTATGTCTTGGGGGCAAATTACACAGAATCTAGTGCAGAGTAGGAACTCAATAAAATGTTAAAATAAATTCATACACTTAACATTATCCATATAGAGAGTGTCTATGCAGTGTACCAGCTATTATGTAGTGCCCTAGACTGGGCAGGGAGAAACAGGACAGACGTGGTCTTCACCCAAACTTCCAGTTTAAGTGGGGAGGCAGACACTTAGATAAATAATTGAAATATGATGATAAGAGAAGGAGAGCACATAACACAGAAACATGTTTATTTCCAGGGGAATAAAGACTTAACCCCTTGTGCCTGGGTTGTTCAAATAGGAGTGGGAGATGTATTTCCCCGGCCAACAGCAGAAGTCAAGGAGTTCTCTGCCTATGAGTGACCAAGAAAGACCCGGGTATCAAAATGCCTATTACAGGTGTTCTGAATACTCCAAGAAAGAGTATAACTATACTCAAATGGATCATATATCATACTATATAATAATTAAAGTGGTAGATTTCTGTTTCCAATATATGGTCTGAAAGCAAATGGGGAAGGCTTTGGGTCCAGGATGAGAAGGAACCACAGGCAAAAGCAAGTCCACATGCCTTTTCTGTAGCATTTCTCTATGTGGTGCTGTGTTTGACTTCCTCCTCCTCCTCCCCTGCTCACCCCAGGATAGAAGTTTTGAACTTGGGTTGTTTCTTTGAAAGTGAATAACAAAGGGGCAGCAATTAAAATGATTCACTGCCTGGAGCTAAAATTAAATTTAGAAGGATGTCATTTCATGATCTGTTCATAAATTTCGGATCTCATAATTTCAATGAAATTATTGAATCTCCCATCTATCAATAATGCAATATATACAGCAACTACTTATGGCAATATAATTGAAACAGACTCAGTATATGCAATTGTTGAAGAGTCAAAAACTCAGTTAATTTGGAAGGACATAAGAAAAACACTAATATTGCTTTGGCTCAAGCGCCACATCACTGGAATGCCAAGGTCATGGATACCAGCATCACAGGTGCACACCTGCCCACATACGTGCTCTAGCGTGCTGGGCAAATTGAAACAGGATGAAGAATCCAGCTGGTATAGGCACAGACCTACAAAGTGACTGGTAGGTTACTACACCACTCCTTAGGATTTAAGGAAGATTATTAAAAGCTTCTTAGCCCCCCTTGCACCATAACTACACTTCTTCTACAGTGGACTTTGTATTATATGTATGCACAAGTCTTATTTTCCAAATCAACTGTCTTCATCACCAATATAACCCCTGTCTAGTACAATGGCAGGCACATAGCAGCCATTCTGTAAGTACTAGGGGAGTCATTCAACTCAACTTATTCAACAATTGTGCCAGATCCTGCTTTAGGTGTTGAGGATACAAGAATGAAGAAAATGCTCAAAGTCCCATTTCTCATTCTGGTGGGGGAAGAGACAGACAGTGGACACTGAAAACATGCAGCACGTTAATTAGAGAGAAGGACAATGGGGACGGGGGGAAGAAAGTGAGGTTGGTTGGGAGAAAGAGCTGACAGTGGGTAGGAAGAAATGTTGCTATTTGCATAGAGTGGACAGAGAAGGGCTCTGATAAATCTGCTGAAGAATCCTGAAAGAGGTGTGGGGGCAATCACCCAGGTAGCTGGAGAAGATTTCACCCAGGCTGAAAGGGCAACAAATGCTGAGACCCTTAGATGCAGACGAGGTTGGCCAAATGGCAGAGAACGCCATAAACCCAGTGTGGGTAGAGTGGAGTGAGTAAGAATGCCAGTGATGGAGACAAGATCAAAGAGGTGGTAGCTGAAATGGGGGAAGGGTCCCAAAGGACAGATAATGTAGAGCCTCATAGACTATTCTAAAGCATTAGGGTTTTGCTTTGAACAAGACAGGAGGGGTTTGAGCAGAGGAGTGATATTTCGACAACAGATTTTAGGGGGCAAAAATGGAAGTTCTCCTACCACCAATTAGGTCTCTCTGAATAAATTAATGAATGAAAGCCAATGAGTAAGCAGACAAAAGAGAATTCATTCTTGGGTGATTCCCAGTGTTTTTCATGCTGGTATAGACATCTCTCCTGACTACTTTTTACTCTTTCTTATTCTTTTAAAGGTGTGTTTTTCCCACTTTTCTCAAGTCTGATGAGCCTGAGCTTTCTAAGGTATAGGTAGGTCAGTCAATAATAAGTATAATCCTTAGAACTGGTATTACAGAAAGTTATACAAATTGTTCAAAGAAGAGTCTACAGAAATACAAGTATGTGTATATGAAGTATGTATACAACTTAAGCACATGGTGCTTAAGTGCTCTTAACAGTTCAAATGCATACTCTGTAAGAGTAGTTTTTAAATCCTATTGATATGTGGATGTGGCAAATTACCATCCTGCTTTGAAGATGAAGGAGAGAAGACATGGGGGAAACCAGAGTGCTACAGGCTGAATATTTGTGTTCTTCCAAAATGTATATACTGAAATCTGATCTCCAATATGACGGTGCTTGTTGGGAGGTGATTAGGTCACGAGGGTAGAGCCCTCATAAATGAGATCAGTGCCTTTATAAAAGCGACCCCGAAGAGCTCCCTAGCTTCCCTCCCCCACCCCCATTTAAGGTTACTATGAACCAGGACGCCGCTGGCTCTGGTCAGATACTGAAACTGTTAGAGCTTTGATCTTGGGAAGTCTTGGGGACTTCCCAGCCCCAAGAACTATGAGAAATAGGCTTCTGTGGTTCAGAAGCCGCTCAGTCCATGGTATTCTGTTATAGCATCCCAAATGGACTAAAACACCAGAGTCCATAGTGTTTGTTTTTCTACAATAGTCTGGGCCTAGAAGAAAATCTAAATGTTGTTGAAAAGGACATAACATTTAGGGAAGTTGATAGATCCCGCTGGCTAGATAGAACACCTAAGGTAGAGTTACTAATCATGTTGCCAGCATAATATTGTTAGATTTAGACTTAAAAAAAACTAGTGTTTCTGAAGTGTAAAGAAGAATCACAACTACTCATATAAATTCCCACTTAAAATATATGTGGAGATCCAAGTTTTCATTATAGTTAATTATCGCTGTTTCAAAATTTTTCATAAATAGTCTAGGGTCCTGTGTTAACATTTATTATTTTTCTAATTCTTATTTCCATGGATACTAAGGTTTTGTAAGTCCTGGTCCTTATAAGTAAAAAATAAAAAGCAATTCTTTCCTCCCTTAGGTTTGTCCTTTGTTTACCCATCACATTCAGACCTGGAATTGTGAACAAACGCACTATGCACACACATAAGATAAATGCTATAATTTTCAGGTCCATAAACTTCCTGAACTCTATCTATGGAACTCCTTATAGAAAGGCAAACTATTTAATCATATTATATATGCATTCGGGTCAAGTCCACCTTCAGTATGTACTGAAATAAGTGAAATCAGGCTCATGGAATTACAGAGTAGAGTGGTGCATTTTTCTCAAGAGTTTACTTTGCCGTGATTATAATTTTTTTGGCCAATTTCTCCTTACTTCATATAGATAACACATAACCTGTCTTCTTACTAATCTCTGTGTTATGAACACAGCCATGTGTTTTGTTCCAATGCACCATGTTTCAGCTTATATGTGAATGATTCAGATCCATTACAAACTAAGACAATAAAGACATGATCTAGACATTTACTTTTGTGAGATAACAAGTGTTTTCACTGTCTACGTGGTTGGGTTAGGATTGTCTATAACTTGCATTCAAAACTGAACCAGAGATTTCTGGATAGTAAGATAATAGATTATTGGTCCTTTGGCACGTTTTTAAAAAAGCAATGAATTAATATTTCTAATTAAATTTTCTCCTCCATTCTAGGTATGCTGTTATTGTTAACCAATTTCTTTTTCTTGGTTTTAGGATAAGGAATGAAATAGTTATAACTAGGGTGTCCCCCACTGAATGGGATAGAGTTTGGAGAATCCAGTGGACCAAGCCCCAGGCTTACTTGCTTGGATCTGCTCCTTTGAAGTAGGCATTGACTGTTTCTGTAAATGCCGCCGCAACGGGGAGGGTGTCCTGGGCTCCCATGGTCAGGGGGCTGGGTCCCCTGGAAGAACCTGCATGAAATGGAAAACTTTCATTTATTATGGACATAGGAGACATATTAATATGTGTGGAACTAAAAGTCCATTAAAGGATAAAAGGATGAAATCTATTACTGAAAACACATAATGTGCTAGGAACCATGTGTGTATATTTAACATAGAGCTCAAGTATTTAAAAGGAAATATTTGGCTGGTTTACAAACAAACACACTTGAAATTAATTCAATTGTGTATTTTTCTACAGAAAAAAATCCAAGCAGAAAATAAAGTCAGAGGGGGTTTTCAGTGTTTTAAATAAAGCGTAAGGCAGTATTTGAATGACAGTTTGAACAGCAGGTTAGTTACTAAAGAAAAGTTACTAGCTTCTTATTTCAGCATTTACCCTACACAAATGCCCACACACTCAAAACTTCTTGTGTTTCTTTATTTTAAAGAGACAAATGGCCATGGAGTATCATGTTACACATTGTCCTTTCCTGGGTTATTTCTGTTTTGAAATGCCCAATTAACTTCAGATCAAGTAGGCTCAAGTTTACATGTCCAAAAACATACATGCCATAAGGTACACCTTGACTTAACACAGACACACAAATGCATCAATTTACACTGTAAACAGTCACAGTGCTGCTCATGTTTATTGAGGACCTGCTATATACCATGTGCTGTGCTAGATACCTTACAAGAATCCCACAAAAGCCCTTTAGGATAACCATTATGATTTCCATTGTATAGAAGAGAAAACTAAAGCTCAAAGCGATAAGGGACTTGCCCAAAGTAACAGTTAAGTGGCAAACCTAAAATTCAAACCCAGATTTGCTCTCCTATAAAGCTCATGTTTTCCCCCATTATACCATATAGTTTTTCTAAAGGAAGCATTTTCTTTTATGGTTTTGATAGAACTTGAGGTTTCTGAAAGGAGCAAAATTTAACATTGTTGTTTTTGCTGTTTGCTGTCTAAGCATGCTACTGAACAGTAAAGTTTTCGTAATGACAAAGTATTTAATTGTGTTGGCGATCATTGCTTCTCCTTCTTATCAAACAAAACACATTTATTCTTCCCCACCCTAAAGCAGATTACATATTATGCTTTTTTTCTTTTACCTTCAGTAACTTCTGTAATCTTCTCTGGCTATTAAAAAAATCTACCCTTTGGGGCGCCTGGTTGAGCATCGGACTTCAGCTCAGGTCATGATCTCACAGTTCTTGAGTTCAAGCTCAACATCGGGCTGGCTGCTGTCCGTGCAGAGGCCACTTTGGATCCTCTGTCCCCCTCTCTCTCTCTCCCCACCCCCTCTCATGCTGTCTCTAAAAAATAAATAAACGTTAAAAAAAACCCTACCCTTTGTGTATCTTCCTCCTCAATAAAGTTTTCTCTGGCAATTCTCATTCATGCAAGTCTCTTCTTGTGCTATCTTCCCTTGGCTTTCTGTATCTTGGACTTGGTAATTGATCAACAAACATGTGCTTACTATTTACTATGTATATGACACTATGGTAGGTTCTGGGGATTCAAAGTCAAATTACATATAATCTTTGTCCTCAAGGAGTTACAGTTCAGTGGGCTAATATTATCATCAACAACATTCACTACCAGCATTACCTCCATCACCATTATTTGTTGCATACTTACTATGTGTTTTACATATATTCTCTAGGTAAATGTACAAAGCAAGTGGAAAGGTCAGGGAGGGTTTCATTGAAAAAGTGATGTTGGAACTGAAGTTTGACAGTGAATACGATCTCACGAGGGTGAGAAGGAAGAAGGCCCAGCATATACATATGTGTGGAACTGAGCAAACATATGGCATTTTGAGAAACCACAGGAAGTATGGCACTGTTTGCATGTGAGTGGGTGTAAATGCAGTGGGTATTGAAAGGGGAGACAAGGGAGGAAATGAGGTTTGGGCAGAGGTTAGAAATTAGGTCATGAAAAGCTTTGTTTATTTATTTGTTTATTTAGGAAAATTTGTTGATTTTATAGGTGATTTATAGGCATTGAAATCATAATCACTTTTTGAGAATTTAATACAAAACTATGGATGTTTCTCAAAGCAGAGTGCACCCATACACAGCATTTATATAATTTGAAATAGTCCTTGGGAGTCCTGAAACAGACGTTAAGAACACTGTCTCTAAAAGATGGGAGGCCTCTGAAGTATTTGAACTAGGAAAAAAAAAGAAATAGGGGGGCTATGATGGGGCTTGAGTGTCCATTGCTCTAGTGATAGAGAGGCAGATAATTCAGGGACAGAAGCAAAAATGTAGGTGAAGAGACCTCTTAGAAAGAAAACGATAAAATTGGCAAGCAATGCAGATGTTAGCAGATAAAGGGAATGTCGTAGACATAATGTTTTTCAGTTTTGCAAGGCATTTAATAGTTTTCCATGCTATTCTTGTGAATAAAATTGTGAAAGTTGGGTGGATAATACTCTTGCCGAGTGAACTGTTAGTAGATGAGTCACAATATTCAGTGAGCATGAATCAGTGGTTTTATACCTGTTGCAAAGGAAATCTCTAGTGGAATATCCCAGAGTTCTCTCCTTAGTCTGGGCTCTTCAGTGCCTCTGATAAAACTGGGAGATGCTCAGAAATGACACAGTATAGTGCCTAAGAGCATGAGATTTGGCAATAGACATACTTGGGATTGAGTCTTATTTCTCATACTTGTTATTTATATGACCTTTGACAGGGATAATATAATGACACACACTTTGTAAGCCCATCAGAGGATAAAATGAGGTAAAACGTTTAACACAGTGCTTGGTACATAGTAAGCCCTCAATAATGATTAGCAATTTTTATGATTATTAAAATTTAAGATAATACAGAGGTTGTCTTGAATAATGACAGTCATTGAAGGTGCTAAAAATGATCTTTTGGAATATTGGGCTGAAACTGAGAAGAAAACTATCAGCAAAAACAAATGTGGAATTCTTATATATCAAGGTTAAAATTAATCAAATAATTATGGTTTGTGGAAAGACGATGTGAAAAAAATATTTGGGGGATGGAGTTGATCATCAATTGTCTATTGCTGGCTGGGCTCTAAACAGGTCACCGACCGGACTACATCAGTGGGTGGGTTACAGATGGATCCCTAGAAAGGATGGCTTTACTGCTTTTTGTTTGAGTGCCTAGTTTTAAAGCTCACCAGATGGTAATCAGGTCACTTATCCACAAGCTGAAGACCAAGCTCTTCAGCATAATGGTGTACAATGCCATCTGGGGTACTATGGTCTGAATGTTTGCGTCCCGCCCCTCCCCCCAAATTCATAAGTTGAAAATCTAATGCCCAACGTGATGGTATTAGGAAGTGGGGCCTTTGGCAGGTGCTACAGTCATGAGGGCGGAGCACTAGTGATTGGGATTCAGGCCCTTATAAAAGAGGCCCCAGAGTGCTAGCTTCTCCCTTCCACCACATGAGGACACAGCGAGACTGGAAATCTGCAACCCGGAAGAGGGCTCTCTAGAGGACCCAGCCACTGACACCCTGATCTTGAACTTATGAACTTCCAGAACGCTGTGAAATAAATATATATTGTTTATAAGCCACCTGGTCTGTGATAATTTGTTACAGCAGTCAAAATAGACTAAGACATGCAGTCTGACCCATGCCTATCTTTCATGACCCACCTACCCCCATTCCCTCCGGAAATCCTATATTCAAGCTATGTTTCCTATGGGCACTATAGCCCCTATTTATATTTAATCTATAAGGACAGAAGAAAACATCAAAACTTTACAAAGAACCCTTTTACCTCAAAGGATCCAAAGTTTACAATTCTAGGTTTTCCGCATCCTGATACACTGCAATTAATGCCATTTTTTGTTACTTTTTCCATTTATTTCATAATTTTCCTTATTTCTATCTGTTCTCCACACCATTTTTGACAAGTTTGTATTATTCTATGGCCTCCAAATGTTGGGCCATTTCTAGGTAGCAGTTATTCTAAATCCATCTTTGTATAAATTGGTCTTCTTTTCCTTTTTAATTATTTCCATAAGATATAGAAGTTTTATTACCACAAGGTGGATGACCAAAACATAAGGCAGATAAATTTTTTATTCCTAACAATGTCAGATTATTGCACATAAAGTTTATACTCAATGAAAATGCTATTAATAAAGAACAAAAGCTTCTGTTCCCCTTCAGTAACTGTGACAGTATCTGTTAACATGATTATTGGAAAACTGGACTAAAATAAGGAGAGTCTAAGATGGTGAGAAATTTAAGCCTCATGGCTTAAGAGGACTAAGACGGCCTAGAAACTATTTTCAAAGATCTCACATAATATAATCAGACAGTGACTCAAGGGACCAGCATTCATGGCCATGGTTCTACAACTTAACAGCTTTGTGGTCTTGGGAAAATCAATTTACTTTTGGTTTTCTCAATCATAAAATGAAGGCAATAAACCAAAGAGTCTCTGTTTCAGGATTCTGTGATTTTAGGTTGTTTATAGGCACTTAATTTTCTTTAAGTGTAGGAACAATTTTCTAACACAAAGATAAGCTTCTTTGAAAACAGTATACCTTCATTGAAGGTTTGAGCATATCTGTGAAACATTTACCGACCCTCCACTACGTGCAAAATAGTGGTGGGAACACAAATACGGAAACTTTCAGGAAATAAGATAAACATTTGGAAAATCGAATAACAGTAACATATGCAAGTGAGAGCTTAATAGTTCAGGTGATGGTACTATGAGATTACTTCACTGTGAAATTAATTGCTAAGTGAGCAGTACAGGGAGGCTGTTCTGCGATTTAACAAGAGGAAACTTTAGCTCTGGAGTCATGTACACTTGGGTGTGAATTCTGGCTGCTTCACTTACAATCTGTATGACTAGGGGCAAGCTATTTAATCTGTAACTCTGTTTCTCCTCTTTAAAATAGAACAGATAGGGGCGCCTGGGTGGCGCAGTCGGTTAAGCGTCCGACTTCAGCCAGGTCACGATCTCGCGGTCCGTGAGTTCGAGCCCCGCGTCAGGCTCTGGGCTGATGGCTCAGAG